TGCTGAGGCACATCCTGTCGATCTTGGTCATCTCCCTTTGGAATGACCACATGGGCTGCAATGGAATGTCCAATTCCTACTGATCCATTTGCTGGTTGTAGTGCTCATAGAGCTTCCTTAATCAATGATGCACTTGGATATCACATCATGCACTCACAAGCTAACAATTCTTTGATTGCTGATTCTGGATTGAAAATTCCAAGTGCTGCACCCTGCCATCGATGGCCTGGTATGCCTTGATGAGCTTGCTCCATGGGGGGCACATGCCCATGATGCAAGAAGCATCCTGATCCGCAGCACATCTTAAGCACTTGCTAGTTTCAAGCACTCATGTAATCATTTTTTACTAATTAATCCAATGCTCTGGATGGAATTGCTCCTGACTCCATTCCTTCCTGTTGGCATTCTTCCTGATGAACTGCTCCTTCTCATGTGCCACATTGTCCTTCATCCCACATTCCTTGCGAATCAGCTGCTGGTACCTTAGTTGAAAACAACAAGTCCAATCATCATGCAACTTAATTGGAATTTGCTTCATGAACTGTCATTTCATTAGTTACTCAAAGCTGCTGGGCCTGCAGCTTTGCATCCAGCAATGCTGCACGAATTGCCAAATCCCATTCTGCCTCATAGTAATCCCCTTGGCTGGAATGAATAAAGCCAATCATGTGTTGCCATGCTGGTTGCGATGGTTGCCCTGCTGCATTGCCTGCTGATAATTAGCATTGCCTACTGAAACTAATGCTGGCAAGGTTCTGCTCATCCCTGGTGCAAATGTAGGGCGCAATGCCTGGATCATGCCCACCAATATGGCAGAATCCCGCATCTGATCATCATACCTGAGCCCAGTAACTGAGTAACAGCTGATGACATCTGACTAACTAGTTCCTTATCACCTCATGTGCTCATCATCATGCTTCATGTAATTATCTTGCATCAGCCAAGAGGCTCTCTGAGCACCTGTGCCACATGCCTTTGCAAATCATGGAAGCCTCCATAGGCGGTGTCCATGGCTGAAGTTCATCAAGAATTTAAGCATTGAATCATGAATCTGATTGTTGAAACAGGCGCGCTTCTCCATGAACCCTGCTTTCCTTGCACATGTCCAGGCTGACCTGCATGCCATTGCAAAACAAAAACATTTGCATACTTAACTAATTAATGACTCCAAATTGCATGATCCACAAACTGATGCATCTTCCACAATACATACAGCATGATGCAGCACATCACCTGATTTGTGTGCACCCTCCACCCAATTTCCCTGCATTGCCATGCCCCATGTGGCCAAGGCACTCCCTGATTGATCGCCTGATGGTGCTCCATGTCAACCCCCTGGCCTCAGTGATGATAGTTAACAGCTGTCAGTGATGAGCAATTGTCAATGTGTCCCCCATGAATTGATTCAAGCAATTGATGATGCCAAATGCCACTGGTGGCAACCAGGCATGCCATCACCTTCTTCATGCTCATGGCCATGCTAATTGGCTCCAAATACAAACTTATTCCAAGCTCTGATGGTGCAAAAGGCTGCTGATGATTGAATGGCTCATGCACACGCTGGATGCACATGATGCCAAGTGAACCCACCATGCCACTCATGACAGCGCATGCACCTTCATGTTTTCCAATTCAATCCTGATGCCAATTGATTAGACACTGGGTTGCAGCTACTCTCATCTTTCTTTTCCTTCTCCAATTGGCTTCTCTGCCTCATCATCCTTCTTTGGATGCAGCACCTGATGAAGATGTGACCCTAGCAGGGCTTGGCCAGGGGAATGGTGCTGGCATCACCAACCCACCACCACCCACCACACACCACCCACCACACACCACCATATTTCTGTCATACTCACTTGCCATGTCCATTGCACTGAGCCTAACTAATCTACAAACCTGATCTCATGAGGGTGCTGAGGGAATGTGCAGGATGTTGTGGTTGATGCATCTGAGTTTAATCCTGGGCCTGATGGTGCTGAGTCTGATCCTGCTGGTGCTGGGCCTGATGCTGATGCGCGTATAAAAACATACATCGCCAGGTAAACATATCAACACGCATGCATGCGCGATAAGCCTTCTGCAAAAAGCGATCCCGGAGCGATCCATTTGCGCGATCCCTAAGCGAACCATTCGCGCGACGCCTAAGCGACCCACTGCCCTCGTAGGTGTTCGCGCGCGCACCCGGAACAGTTCTGATGGCACATCTCCAACATCACATTCAAGCTCCTTGGTCTCATCGCCCACAAAATAGTAGCTGCCTTTTGCTCAATCACCCAGCCCCAGATGCACCACGCATCTGCATATGCAGGGTTCTCCAGCTGGACAAACTGATACACACTGCCTGCATAATGCAGGCACCAGTATGTGTCTGCAACATCAATGCCCAAATGCTGACCAAGTAGATTAAGCACTTCAACATGATGCCTGATTCTCCTTGTCATGCCCACTAATGCAGTGTACTGGTTGGCCCAATAGCGCTGGACTGATGCACCCTCATCAACTGCTGCATTCTCATCCTCCTGCTCTGCAGCCCCCAGCTCTGATCCAGCCTCCTCCTGCCCAGCCTGCTCTGTATCTGCATCATGCCCTGAATCTGAATCTGACTCATGAAGTTCATGCCATGAATTCTCACTCACTGATGACATGGCTGCAATGCTGGCCAAGCTACTCCTCACTGATTCCTTGCTGAGATGCCTGCAAACCCATGCTTTGCCTTGTGAATGTCATGCTGAATCCATGCAAACCCTCATGAATGTCCTTCTCAATACATGCCTGCCCATGCAAACCCTCATGAATGTCCTTCTCAATCCCTCTTGGAATACATCCAGCCCATGCAAACCCTCATGAATGTCCTTCTCAATCCCTCTTGGAATACATCCAGCGCAAACCCTCATGAATGTCCTTCTCAATCCCTCTTGGAATACATGCCTGCCCATGCAAAAATCATGAATTTCCTTCTCAATCCCTCCTAGATTGCATGCCATGAATGTCCTTCTCAATCCCTCTTGGAATACATGCCAGCCCACGCAAACCCTCATGAATGTCCTTCTCAACCCGTCCTAGAATGCCTGCAAACCCTCATGAATTTCCTTCCAAATCCCTCCTGGAATGCATACCAGCCCACTCAAACCCTCATGAATTGCCTTCTCAATCCCTCCCACTCAAACCCTCATGAATTTCCTTCTCAATCCCTCCTAGAATGCATGCCAGCCCATGCAAACCCTCATGAATTTCCTTCTCAATCACTCCTAGAATGCATGCCAGCCCACTCAAACCCTCATGAATTTGCAAACCCTCATGAATTTCCTTCTCAATCCCTCTTGGAATACATGCCAGCCCACGCAAACCCTCATGAATGTCCTTCTCAATCCTTCCTGGAATGCATGCCAGCCCACTCAAACCCTCATGAATTTCCTTCTCAATCCCTCCTAGAATGCATGCCAGCCCATGCAAACCCTCATGAATTTCCTTCTCAATCCCTCTTGGAATACATGCCAGCCCATGCAAACCCTCATGAATCTTCTCATGCCAGCCCATGCAAAGCCTCTCCTAGAATGCATGCCAGCCCATGCAAACCCTCATGAATGTCCTTCCCAATCCCTCCTGCCCATGCAAAACCCTCATGAATGTCCTTTTCAATCCATCCTGGAATGCATGCCTGCCATGCAAATCCTCATGAAATGCATGCAAAGTTCTTGGCTCAATACTACTTTAGAATTGGCCAAATTCTAAACTAGTATTCCCCCAAAGCAAAATAAGGAAAACCAACATGCCCAATACTACTTTTGAATTGGCCCAATTCTAAAGTAGTATTCGAAAACCAAAAAACAGAGCCCAATACTAAACTCCTTTAAACAAAGCCCGACCCTGAAAATTCTCCCCTAATCTTTATTTATGGTCATTCCGGGGGGGGGGGGGGCCTATGTGTTAATCATAGGTCAACATTAAGTGGGTGCGTGGCTTCCAGGTTTGAACCTTGTTGCCCGTGTCGTTAGCTCCGAGTTTTGGCAGACGGCCGTGCTGGTGGGATTTAGACTCCGGGTTTTTGCAGGATTTGGCTTTTGGGGTGGGAGCCTTCGTGGGGCGCGGACAGGTGAGACTCCACGCGCGCAGCCTGAGACAATTCCTACCTGGCTTGAATGGACCTTGCTCCGTGCTTGGCGTGGGTTGTATTGTGTTGCTGTGGGGGGGTGGCGGTCCTTGATGAACAGCGAAAGGACTCCGACTTGCACCGTCGCGCTGAGCTTGCGAGCTGGACGCTTGCCATCTGATGAGGGTCAAAATCATCAGAACCAAAAGCCCAGGCCGCATTCTCAGGCTCATCGGTCGGCATGTCGCCGCAGGTCTCGTTATGGTTGTAGCCGTCCCTGCTGAGGATGGTTTCTGCGGCCATTGCCTGGCGGTAGGAGGGCTTGTCGTCCTTGGCCTTGCCTTTTCCAGCATCAATTCGCAATCTCGCCGTCATGACGTCCATTGCTTCATGCAGGCAAGGCGTCACCACAGGAGGTGCAACTTCTTGTCCATAACGTAGCCGCGTGGCCCCGGGCAGCTGAGCCCAGCAGTTGACCAGGTTGGCGGGTCTCCGGATTTCCTGCACCGTGGCCTGGTCAAACTGGCTCGTCAGCGACCGGCTCATTGAAGTAGAACTCGGCGCCGGCCGGTGCCATCATGAATATGGTGTGCCCTAGGAAAGGAGCCTACAGCTCCCCTACCAACTTGGCGATTCCCGTCTGCTGCAACACGGGCGGCTTTTCATCCAAAGATCTGAGGCCCAGCCGGCTGCGCGCAAATGTTGCTTTCACATCTTTTACCCAACACTGTGCCGTGTTGCAGGCCGAACCCTGATTGTGGGACAAACACTTGCAACCGACCTTTCTGGCACAACTGTCCGAGCCACTACCTAGTCAGTTTGCGTTGGGCTAACAGTCAACGCGACTACTTAAGCAAATCAGTGAATGGAACCTACTGTACGTGCAAAACGCCGGGAACGCTGCGCGGTCCTGACCGACAAAGCACCCGGCAGACTCCACCGACGTAGAGGGTGTGCTCTCTACAACTTGCCCTAGCTCGTCCGCTGGGTTGTGGTTGCCACGCTCTGCGTCCTGCTGAGGAATGCTGAGCCAATCCAGCCATATGTAGGCGTCCTGCGTTCTGGAATGGCTATCTGCATTTCGCAAAGACTACTCCAACAGCAAGTCTCTGAATTCATCCAGACTTGGCCCCCCTTTAGAGGCCAATTCCATCTGCAATGGGAACCCACGGAAGAAAAGGATATTAGAAGGGGCGGGTGGTGTTACTTTTGTTTCCCTCTAAAACCAGCCCAAGAAGGGTACCGTCAGAAAACAAAAAACAAACAAACCCTTGTCCAAAGATATCTTAACTAACATCTGCTGCCTCATCCGCTCCTTGAATTTGGATCGGTGCTTTTCGCTGAGCCGGGTGCTTTGCAGCCAGAACTCTGTGGTGATGTCCGCCCCAATCTGCTCACCTCAGCCAGAAGAAAAACGTGTTGGTATTGGTGTGAACAACACCGGACTGATTTACAGAAACGCTAAAAGCAAAAACCGCCGTTTTAGTGGCATCCGCTATTTAAGACATTCCCGTTAGAGGGCGAAGTCGACATTGCTCCTCTGAACCTCGGACCATATTAGGCCTGCTTCCGGCCAGCGGGATACTTGTTATACATTGAAGGCGTCGTCAAACATCGTCAGCAAAACTGCATGCCAGAACCGAAAAGCCTAGACTTGGAAGTCACCTATAAGTTCCTCACATTCGCAGCCCCGGACCCCGCGAGCGCAAGGGGAACAAACAGTCCCCGGAGTGCCTAAATTTGAACCCGGTTCGCCTCTCATAAGGTTCCTCAACGCATCCTGCAGCACTCGCAGCTGCTCGCCCGTTGGGTCTGGATGAAAGGTACCCAGCCATTGGTGGGACACGAAGATGCAGAACATGCCTTCCTGGCGGAGCGAAACGGCCGGCCACGCGGGTCAACACCTGCCTTCGGACAATCGAGGGAAAAGGCCGGGCAGTCCAGACCATATTGCAGGGCTTATGCAAAGACGCAACCCCCCAAACAAGGAAAAGCTTCATGGCGGCAAACCGAACCGATGAACAAGTCCCTGGAGTTCGCGCCTGGAGCCGGACCAGCAATCCTTTTGCCGCAAGCTCCTCGTGGCAAGGCATTGTGTCCTCAGGCGCAACAAGGGCCAGCCGAAAGTCGGAACCTTTGGGCGTGGGAAAAAAGCTCTGAGAACCATCGCCGCGCAAAACACAGGGATCACCCAACAAGAAGCTACACAGATCACGGGGAGGCTCATCTAGGGCCAGGAAGCCTTGGTGGCCAAAAAGCATAAAACCGCTGGCTCACAACTCCATTAGCATTTGTCATGTTCTGTCTATTCACTTCCACCCAGACTTCAACCAGGGTTTCTGCTGACACGAGCCCTGGGCTCAAGGCTGTCTTGTCAGGTTTCTAATTGGTGGTTTGGATTGGTTGTTTGGTGGTTCAGCGGGGGTTGCCCATTTACCCTCTACAAGGGCCAGGGGTTCAAACCGGCAAACCACCAATCCAAACCAGCAAAGGGTTACCTGATCGTCAAACAATGCCCGAAAGAAGGAGCGTTGCATATGCCAAAGCTCAAAGAGCAGCAGGGTGGAAGCCTTCACCACCCACATGGCCACGGACACGGACTCGATGAAGGCACTCGAAAAGCTCCGCTCCATGCCGTGAGCCGTGAGCTCCGAGAGCAAAGCGAGCGATCATCCCATCAACTTGAGCCCGAACTGAGTCGCTGAACTGTGAATATGAAGCTTCGGAATCCCTCCCCCGCCAACTTAGCAAAACTAAAAGATGTTAGATGCACAGGTGGCCACCCCCAGAGTTCCAAGCCGTGGCTGCCAAATGCACTCCACCAATTTGGCGTTTTTTTGCCGCTTTTCCTTGAAGAGTCAGGATGGAACGACTTTTGGACGCCGAAAGGGCGCGGAATACGCCGCGCGTGCAAGCGAAACTGGTCGCCCAAAAGGCTCTCCGTTTTCTTGCCTCCAAACCGCTCGCGAATCACTTGGACATTCTGGTTGAAACTGGCTACTTTCCATAGTACAAATTGATCGGCATTTGGAAGAGCAAAGGTCTTTGGATGATTGAAGCGGCAGTACCGGGTCGTTGTGTCGGGAAACGGAATTTCTCCTGGAAGTTTGGTTTGGCGATGTGTTGCCCTAACATCATCCCCGACCGGTGGAAAAATTTGGCCAAGCGGCCAAGGGAGGAGCCCTTCAAACGAGTCGGCCGCCGAACGGGGGCAGAAATTGAGTATGAGAAAGCAGCGCCCACCTCTTTAAGGTTTGCGCGCGGCATCACCGCACTGCCCAACTGATGTTGGGAACTCACAAAGGAAAGATGGGCAGGGTTGCCTCATTCTACCCCTTCAGGTCGTGTTGTTGACTTTTGGAGTTGCCGTGCCGGGGCAGAGTGTTGCAGCTAGCTGGGCGGCAAAAGCTGATCATGGTCGGTTGAATGCAGCAAGCTGAACTGACAGTCGCGCTTGCATGAAGCAATGCGTCCCACAAAAAGCACGCAAACTGCACATGGCATGCGCATAGGCATCCCGCAATCTGTTGGATTATCCACGCTGCCACCATCGGGGTGGTCATCTTGATTTTCGCCAAACACCGCGATGAACTCCCATTTGCGAGTGAGGCAGGCACTCATGAGTGTCAATCGCCAACTGGCAGACACATCGGAAACACCGATCCGCACGCTGCACATTTTAGGGGTCAAATGGAAAACGTGGTCTGGTGGCGGTGAAGGACATTCAGCACCGCTGCGGACTGCGTCAGCTGCAGCGGCGTGCGCCCTCGAGCGTTCCGCAGCTCGCAGTCGGCTTTTGCCTCTAGCAGCAGCTCCACGAGCTCCTCCGCGCCGAAAAAGCAAGCGAAACCCAGGGGAGTCGTCGACCACTCCTCGGTATTTGGAGCCGGGGGCGCAGTGCGGGAAGATCGTAGCCAAATCTGCGTAACCAAGCTTTCAGATGCCCTCAAGCGCTCCAGCTACGACGCGGAACCCACTTACGCTTGCCCGAAACAACCCTGGCGACAGACTTTGAAATACGCCAGGAACAGTCAATGTGGCATGGCCCGGTGATGACACAGTCCAGGTGCCACTGCAAACAAACACGAGCCATGGCCTTTTTGCCTTCAAACTAACAATGGACAGATCACGCATCACCTTTTGCAAACAATGAATTGAACAGCCGGCCCTAACAAAATGAGTTGAAAGTCGGCACCGTTTGCAGAAACAACAACATCGCTACTTTCACCAGCCTGCTTTTCACAAGTCCTCTCGTCCCCGGCAGTTTGCAAAGGAAGGTCGGCATGGCAACACTAAACATGCCAAGCGTGCGTCCGGGCAATGAGCAAAGCTCCGCTCATTGCAGGGCGGGAGCCGAACCGTACCGCATTTTCCGCATGGACTCACAATCATTTTTGTCGGTTTCGCGAGGCCCAGAACTGTTCAAATCCCCAGGGTTGTGCGAAAACCCTACTCGCAAATAGCCGAGCCCAAAACAGAAGGTGGATTCCCGCAAGGAGCCTCTCAAACAATAAGGGAATGAGCTTTTTGTGGTTACAAGAGAAACGCAGAGGGAAACCACCCTGCTTTTTGTTGAAAAAGACACAACCGTCCTACCCGCCCGGGGCTACGCATTTTCTCATACCTGACACCTAAAAATGTTCGAGCTGCATGATCTTCGTACAAATCGGGTCAATGTAAGATTACATGTTGAATGTCTGATGGCCCATAGGCGGCGTCTGATCTTGTTCCGAGAGGGGGTCTACGCAAAAATGCAGAACAAACTCGACCTACCCTGATTCAAGTTGCATTTATTCACCTCACTATTTTGCGTGACTAAGGGGTGGGGGTACTGTGATAATCTTTTAAAGCAAAAGCCCAACTCATCGTCTTTGACCCAAGGCGCGGCGAAGAATTGAGATACTTTCGGCGCCTTGCTGCCGCGCAACATCACCAGGCCCCGGCAGGTCCTGAGATTGGTTCAACGATATTTGCCAGCTCCAACTTGGGGAGGCTGGTTGCTTCCGGGGTGCAAAAGCCGAACGCAGCTTCGCAAGTGCCTTTTGATTGAAGCTACAGCCGCCCAGTGCCTTCAGGACGTCCAAGATCGTTACATCAGACGCCAATGAGGACGTTTCACAAAAAAAACGGCCGTTTTCTGTATCTTTCCTCTTTTGTTTCCTTCTCTCTTCGCGAAACAAAAACGGCGCCGAAAACAACAACACCAACGAAATTGCGAGGGCTTTGCAGGAGAATTAGCACAACATACAAGGACACTGCAAGGAAACGGCATTCAAAGGCCAACTTGGCAACCTTCAACATTGCCAAGCGTCAATTCCCCGAGGCGCCCAATTCCCGACCCGTGGCGCTGGGCATTTACATCTGCCCGGGCGTCCAAAAGCAATTTGGCAACTTCAGTGGAGCTCTCGCTCATCGTCCACCTCAACTGGGTCTGAGCGCCATGAAAGACGGTCGAGCCGGTCCAGACCTCTTTACCCCTCATTGGTGGGTGTTCAACTCCCCAAAAACGTCACAACTTGAACGTACCAGTTACGCTGGAATACCGAATGACAGTGTGACAGTATGACTATTCCCTGACACCGTCAGAATTGAGCAAATGAAAGTTGTGCTGCTGCGCATGTTTATCAAAGCCCGAGACTGCGCATGTTTAGCAAGCCCGAGACTGGCACGGGAGTTGGCATTCCAAGTTTGCGACACAAATGGTTTCTCCTGAGATGCAAGTGAATCCAAGCAAGTATCAACTTCCCTATCCGGTGCTACCAGTGGGGCCGGCAAAAAGAGGGCGCCGACTAGTAGATCAATCAATCAGGTTGGTTCCATTTTTAGTGGGGGAACGACAACGACACCTGGCTCTTGGGGGTCATGCCAATCTGCACTGAGTGGCCGGTAGGCGACGCCCACAAAGGGATGATTGCACGCAGCAGCGCCTCTTCTTGGGTTCACATCTGCACCATGCTTCCTGGCCCCGGAAACTGCTTGCTGCGTGCAAGGTGCTCTGAAAACGGAGGTTCTTGCCTGGCCAAACTTTTTCAAGCAATCCTGGGCAAATAAAACGCAGTGCTTCATCAAGAGACTGGGAAGTTCCCTCGCTTGCTGAGTGGATGGCAAAAAAAGAAAAGGTCCAAACTTTACATTACCACTAAAATGGTCTTCCAAAAAAGTTTAAAGTTCATGAACTGAGGAAGTGAGTTCTTGAGCGCCAACTCTGGAAAGGGTCCGCAAGGCCTACACGGTGAGCTGGTTTATCGTGTCGGACGCCAGCCAACACGAACAAATGGCCCTCGCAAAAAAAAAACGTGCGCAAAGTAACTTAAGGAGGGGTTTCCCGTTTACCCTCTGCAACAGTTGGGGGGTCAAATCGCCAAGCCACCTCATCAAAGCCACCAACTGAATTTTATCTGACTGGTAGTAACCTTGGTAACTGCCCAAACACCGTCGTAGCTAAGGTTCAAGAGGGCTGCTATCACAGACGTAGGCGCTGAGCGACCGCATGCTGATGTGATCGGTGGCAGCTTGAAGTGTCCTCCTTGCTGCCGGTTTACCTCAGCGACAGCCCTCAAAACTGCCCGAGTGTAACTTCCAGGCGGTTGCCCAAAATTCAAAAGGGCGCCGGGGTTTTGTAAGGATCGACTCCACGGGCTCGTACGCCCAATGTATACACGGCCAATCGCAAGCTATGGCGGCAAAGGAAACGGACGATGCTCGGTCAGCCTCTACCAATTTGTAGTTTCCGCCAGTTGCAGGTTAGGCAAGCGGTACGTTTCCGGCAAGCAGAAGCAAGGGCTTAGACATGAAGCATCTTGCCGACAAACATGAGCCGCATTCTAGCAACAGCTTAGACATACGACAACTTGCTGCCGGAAACGGGTTAGACATGACATACTTTGGTCTTAGCAACAACATAGGCGTGAGGCAGTTTTGGTTCCAGCAACAACGCCGCTCAGTGGATGGCCGCTTGGCAGCAGAAAATTCCTGAACGCTGACACAGAGAGCCGCTTCTGGCCAGATAAGGGTAGAGCTAGAACATGTTGGTCATTCGCTTTGCGTCACCCCGAATAGCTTGACTCGGCCTCGTCTGGCGCTGTTTGATAGTCTAGGGTTGCAAGAGACAGGGCCGATAAACCATGTGAGACTGCTAGCAGTGACTCTTTAATCTTCCTCCAGGGTGGTTCCCTTGTGATGCTCACGACTATGGAGTTGAGTGGAGGTATTGACTTGGCTCAAGGCTCAAGTCACGCACGCGTCTCTGGGACCAGCTTTCAAGAACAAGCGAGAGAGGCAAAACAGGCTGACCGAGCGTTGTGCGCTTCCTTGCCGACACGTCGGGCTTGTAATTGTCTTTTGTTAGGCACGCTGTTCGGCGCCTGAGCTACAGCGTGGTGCTTGCGTCAGAGATTGCAATCTCGCGCGCCGCCGGAGGAATCGGAATTCCATCCCAGAAGCACGTTCTGAACACGAGCGCGATTCTTGCTCTTGCTGACGCATAATGTTGACCTATGATTAATAAATAGGCCCCCCCCCTGAATGACCATAAATAAAGATTAGTGGAGAATTTTCAGGGTCGGGCCTTGTTTAAAGGAGTTTAGTCTTGGGCTCTGTTTTTTTAGTTTTCGAATACTACTTTTGAATTGGGCAAATTCAACAGTAGTATTGGGCATGTTGTTTTTTTCATATTTTGCTTTGGGGGAATACTAGTTTAGAATTGGGCCAATTCTAAAGTAGTATTGAGCCAAGAACTTTTGCATGCGTTTCATGGGGGTTTGCGTGGGCTGGCATGCATTCCAGGAGGGATTGAAAAGGACATTCATGAGCGTTTGAGTGGGCTGGCATGCATTCCAGGAGGAATTGGGTTTGCATGGGCTGGCATGAATGCTAGAGGGGTTGAGAAGGACATTCAATGAGGGTTTGCATGGGCTGGCATGTATTCCAAGAGGAAATTCATGAGGGTTTGCGTGGGCTGGCATGCATTCTAGGAGGGGTTGAGAGGAAATTCATGAGGGTTTGCATGGGCTGGCATGCATTCTAGGAGAGGTTGAGAAGGACATTCATGAGGGTTTGCATGGGCTGGATGCATTCCAAGAGGGATTGAGAAGGACATTCATGAGGGTTTGCATGGGCAGGCATGGTATATTTTTGGGAAATTGGTTAGCATTATTTATGGTATATTTACTAATCGTGGGTCAACATTAATTTTAGCAGCACCCCCTTCTTGTTCTGTGCCCCGTCTGTTTTGTCTGCATTCCGACTCCTGACAAAGGCAAGGGGTGATTCAATGCACCCAGTGATGCATCCAGCCTCACGGGCTCTGTCCAAGCAGACTGCCTCATTCTACCATGGGCCATGATGATCTGAGCTGCACAGATGGAGCGTTGCGACTCAACATTGCACCTATCGCTGCTGTGCCACGGACACACTGGCATACGCGAAAGGGATTGCTCTTCCTCAGCGCTATGTTGACAGAGTAGTGACCCGAGTTCAAGGAGCGAATCACGAGATTTGCCATCAGATGTGCCACGGACACACTGGCGTACGCGAAAGGGGTTGCTCTTCCTCAGCGCTACGTTGACTGAGTAGTGACCCGAGTTCAAGGAGCGAATCACGAGATTTGCCATCAGATGTGCCACGGACACACTGGCGTACGCGAAAGGGGTGCCTCTTCCTCAGCGCTACGTTGACTGAGTGATGACCCGAGTTCAAGGAGCGAATCACGAGATTTGCCCTACGCGTCATGTTCAGGGGCTTAATTAACACCATCAAAAGAACACTCAGGCCAGCGTGCACTGGCTGTCCTAGAAAATCCTTTTTCAAGGTAATACTGTGCTCCCGAAAAGGAAGGCCTTAGATTGTAGACTGCCAAGGCCCCTCTTTGCCCAACACGATTGCCACAACGGAAAACAAAACTATGTTGGACTCCCGCAAGTGTTTGTCATAGAGCCCGCAACATGTACAGCGCAGATCGTTTCCTGCCAGATCTGCAACACGCATACATTTACCATTCCATATTGGGTGACGGGTTGGTTCAGACAGTTATTTTGCCCTCACATGGGCGGAATGAACCTTTATGTGCATGATTCCAGTGCTAATTTGCTCATGGCGCGAAGTATGATGCCAAATTTCAGAACAATGATGGATGGTGGCATTTTGCTCGGCACATGGATTTGCGTGCCTTGATGATGTCAGTGAGTACGCAGCCTTTTCGGCTGCAGTTCAGTTTTGGCGGAATTCTGGTGGCCTGTCGTTTGCAGACTGGGCAATGACACATCCAAGCTGAATTTCTGCTTAGTGATTTCCAATGCAGAGTTTTCCGCACAGGTGCGAGAATGGCCTGCGCGCAGGGTCGTTTGCATTTTGTCATTCGATGATCTTTCTTTTCTTTATTCTCACCATACCTCTCAGCCTGTCACCAGTGCGTGCGTGACAGATTGGGAAGTATTCGACATGCACTGTTCTGAGCATCCCCTTGTTCTGGTTCTTTCGGCTCAAAAAATGACCCTTGGACCGAAACGGGGGATGTTGTGAATTCCCGAGCCGGGAGCTCATTGTCAGTTCGAATCTGATGGTCTTGGTTGTTGGTGGTTGGGGGCCCAGATGTGTGTGATGTTTGTGGCTATGGAGCTCAGATGCAAAGCAACCATTGACTTGGCTCAGTGCTCAAATCAAGATTCTCTGGGACGAGCTTTCAACAACTACATGAACAAACGAAAGAAGCAAACAAGCTCCGACTGTGCAAGCTGGCAACTGGACCTGTGGGGCCATGGTTCAGCTCGACTCTAGGCCGGTGGGACCTCATGCCAAAGCACATCTGCCCTGTGCTGGACCAAGAGGTCTACAGCCGCCGGTGTCTTGCAGAAGCTCAGCACATGCTCGCCACCTTTGGACCGAAAAGGGCGAAGCAATCAACCTCCCCTGGAAATACGCCAGATTGGGGCGACTCTGAACTGACAGGATGCACTACTCCATGCAAAGACCAACCAAGCAAAGTTTAAGCCCAACGCTCCGAAGGAGTTCCTAGTTAAACATCCCCAAGGTGACATTGGCATGAGAGAAGTGCACTTAAAGTCACAGTGGAGTGCGCGAAGTGCACCTGTGCAAAAAAGCACAAGAGTAGTGCGCGAAGTGTGCTTTGGCAGCTTCACCGTGCCTTGTGCATTTCAAAAACAATTGGAGAACCTCAACTTCATACGGGTTATTGTCCTTACCTAAATTCATGTGGGCCAAGCCAAGAACAGCAAGGCGTTTTCAAACACAGATCAGGCTCTTGGCAAAAATGCTACAAGCGCAGTGCTTTCAGCATTCGGTCAGATCACGTCGTCCTGGATGGAAGGCCGAATATTCAAGAGTCCGCAACCTCAATCCTGGCCCCCAGAAAGCTTGACAGTGTTTTCTGGCTCCTTGAGTCTTCGCGACCTGCGTTGAAGCTTTTTGTTCTTGAGAATCGTCCGTCCTGGCCAAGTCCCCACACACAGTATACTGGGATAGGGCCGTACTTACGCTGGAGTTATAAGTGACTTAGCACTTAGCTTGGACTTATAAGTAACTTATCTTGAACTTAGAAAAAGAGGCTTTTCTAAGTCCGCTAAGTTCATTCTAAGTTCATTGAGTTGGCAAACACATGCGTTTTGAAGCATGGCAGTGATGAAGCATTACGCGCTGGAAAGCACACATTTTCGTGTGACTCAACGCAGCAGGGCAGGCGCGCGCGCGCATGCAGTTTACGCTGTTTGTCCGCGCTGCTTCGCACGCTTGGCTCGATGGAGCCGGAGCATTTTTTGCACTGATTGACTCGGTTGAATTGATAATCGTTTCTATAGCGGTGTCTCCGCTGGCGGCCGGTCCGCCTGAATATAGTCGCATGGGGCGGTTTCTCCGCCGGCGGCCGGTCCGCCCGTTTTGCTTTTCTCGTTTGATGATATATCATTGTAGCGGTGGTTCCGCTGGCGGCCGGTCCGCCAAGATATTTTTGCCACGTTGATTTTCATTTCGAGATGGCACTTGAAGCGGTTGTTCGCTGGCGGCTGGTCCGCCCAGGAACTTTTCGGCGTTGATTTTTTATTTCGAGATGGCACTTGAAGCGGTGGTCTGATGGCACTTTGCGATTTTTTGCATGTTTGGATTGTGAGTGCGCGGATGAAAGGCTGCAAGACTCAATCAAGGCTCCAGAATCCAGACTGCTGACTGCAAACTCCACACTCCAGACTGCAGACTCCAGACTGCAGACTCCAAACTGCAGACTCCAGACTGCAGACTCCGGACTGCGAACTCCAGACTCCAGACTGCAAGCTCCACACTGCAGACTCCAGACTGCAGACTCCAGACTGCAGACTCCGGACTGCGAACTCCAGACTCCAGACTGCAGACTCCAGACTGCAGACTTCAGACTGCAAACTCCAGACTCCAGACTGCAGACTCCAGATTCCAGACTGCCAACTCTAGACTCCAGACTGCAGACTGCAGACTCCAGACTGCAGACTGCCAACTCCAGAATCCAGACTGCAGAGCCCAGACTGCAGACTGCAGAGCCCAGACTGCAGACTGCGGACTTCAGACTGCAGACTCCAGACTGCAGACTCCAGACTGCCAACTCCAGAATCCAGACTGCAGACTCGAGATTCCATTCCAGACTCCAGAGTGCAAACTCCACAGACAGACTGCAGACTCCAGACTCCAGACTCCAGACTGCAGACTCCAGACTCCAGACTGCAGACTCCAGACTGCAGACTCCAGACTGCAGACTCCAGAACCCAGACTCCTGACTCCAGAATTCACAGTCCAGACCCCAGAATCCAGCATCCAGACAGCCCCGCCCCAAAGCCCGGAAAGGCCGGTGCAGTTTTTCGAACTTAACAAAACTTAACTTAACTTAACCTGGGCGGGTCGTGTCGAGCCGTGGAGTCCCTATTGTAACTCAATCAACTTAACTGCCAAACTTTCCCCGTGAGGCCCAGTTGCGTCACCACGACTTAAAATAACTTAACTTGGCCCCGTGGCCGAATTCAACCACAAAATGATCAGGATCCTGGAGTCAGGAGTCATTGTGGAGTCTGGAGTCTGGAATCTGGAATCTCGAGTCTGCAGTCTGGATTCTTGGAGTTGGCAGTCTGGAGTCTGCCGTCTGGAGTCTGCAGTCTGAAGTCCGCAGTCTGCAGTCTGGGCTCTGCAGTCTGCAGTCTGGGCTCTGCAGTCTGGATTCTGGAGTTGGCAGTCTGCAGTCTGGAGTCTGCAGTCTGCAGTCTGGAGTCTAGAGTTGGCAGTCTGGGATCTGGAGTCTGCAGTCTGGATTCTGGAGTTGGCAGTTTGGAGTCTGCTGTCTGGAGTCTGCAGTCTGGAGTCTGCAGTCTGGACTCTGCAGTCTTTTTTCTGGAAAGTTGGCACTGCGGTCTGGGGTCTGCACTCTGCAGTGTGCAGTCTGGAGTTGGCAGTCTGGAATCTGGAGTCTGCAGTCTGGATTCTGGAGTTGGCAGTCTGGAGTCTGCAGTCTGGAGTCTGCAGTCTGGAGTCTGGAGCTTGCAGTCTGGAGTCTGCAGTCTGGAGTCTGCAGTCTGGACTCTGCAGTCTGGACTCTGCAGTCTGGATTCTGGAGTTGGCAGTCTCCATTCTGGAGTTTGCAGTCTGGAGTCTGCAGTCTGCAGTCTGGAGTGTGGAGTCTGGAGTCTGTATCTGGAGTCTGACTGCAGTTCGAGCGGACCCGCCGCTGTGGATCTTCGCGGGCCAGCCGCGAGTGCAATCTGAGCGGGCCCGCCGCTATATGACCGGGCCCGCCGCGATGTGAGTCTGCGCGGGCTAGCCGCGAGTGCAGAGCGTCTGCGTGGGCCAGCCGCGAGTGAAGTCTGAGCGGACCAGCCGCTGGGTGTCTGCGCGGGCCAGCCGCGAGTGCAGTCTGAGCGCACCAGTCTGCGCGGGCCAGCCGCGAGTGCAGTCTGAGCCGACCAGCCGCTGCGATATGCCGACCTGTCGTATTCGAAAAAATATACGCACGCATCGCCCGGTGTAAGGTTTGGACTCGCGTTCAGCGATGCGCTTTGCGACACGTCAGGAGTAAAGCGCGCGTGCTTTCTTCGCATGAGGAAGCGCGTCAAGACACAGCGAGGCAAACTCGTTTTGGGCATTGCTCCGCAAACGCTGGATGCCAAAAAGCGGTTTTTCCTAAAATGGTGCAAAAAAACTAAGTTCCAGCTAAGTTCATTCTAAGTCCCGGCACCCTTAGACAAGTAACTTATAACTAGGACTCGGACTTAGCAAACTTATAAGTCCACTTGTCCCACGTTATAAGTCCACTTGTAGTAACTTACAACTCAAGTTATAAGTACGACCCTATCCCAGTAGTTTTCAAAAGCATGGTTCCCGTTACAAAATGCAGGCGGCGCACATCCACAGCCACTCTTGCAACGTGCGCTCCTTGTCTGGCTTCCTGGGTGGTTCAAATCCATAATTGGGCACTCCAGCATGTGCTACAGCATCCTGGGTTGCAGGGCTTCTTCAAATCGGTACTCAGGGCTAGCACGTGCCAACACATCCTGGATTTGAGATGGTCAAACCACTTTTTCGGGAAATCTTCAAATCGTGCTAGCACATCCTGGGTTGAAAGCTGAAGATTGAAGAATCCCAGGAAGAGTCGTCAGAGAATCTTCAACCTTCAATCCGGCACGTGCTGGCATGGCCTGGGTGGCCCTAAGTAAGTACAGATTTGAAGAATCTGAGAATGAGTTGTACGAGAATCTTCGATCTTCAAGCTTCAACCAAGGATGTGCTAGCACATCCTGGGTTGTGCTAAGTACTGATGCTAGAGTTTAGGTTTAAAAAAGAACTGCATTTTTACAGCATATGTTTTAAGCTGGAAAGTGCATTCTACACGCATTTTTACAGCAAATAGATGTTTTCAACAACAACCTGAGTATTCCAGGGGGGGAGCCTCTCATCTGTGTTGCTGTTCTGTATTGTTTGTAGCGGTCCATTTTGTGAAGTTGAAAATAAGGGTTTCAAAGGGGCTGAAGAGGCCTCACCAGACCTATTCCGATGCAAGCTATATTTTATTTGTATTCAGGAGGCTGGAGAGGACAACGTATGTGAATAGGCAGTGTTTGGTTTTCTCAGGAAACAATTCTGCGAATCCACAAAACAGCAGTGTGTTTTTCCTTTTTCCTGTCACGGCTGAAGTTGCTATATCACCAGGCTTGAGTCACGTGGCAATCGGGAATCGCTCACAAACAATGTATTTTTTGGCGCCGGGGGGTATTGACAATAGGGTGATGCCATCACTTGAGTCAGAAGCCCTGGGTGTGGAGTAGTGCAAGGAAGGTATGTCCCGTAGCCAATCAAGCTGGGGGTACGGGTTAAACAGTTGCAAACGCGGCTGCGTAATATTTTGACGTGCGCGGCTTTGCGAAAAAGTCTGTGCAAAGATGATGGACAGCGAATTGAATCCCGAAAAGCACCGACTATCCAACATGATCTTGTTGAGATATTCGGGAAATTTTCCGGGCAAAAATGAAAAGCATCGTGGAAAGTCCATCGAGAAATGTCATGGAAATGGACTATGTTGTTGGCATGTTGCAGAAAGGAATCTGGCACCAAGGCGTTGGTACTTCATCGTTGGGGCCGCGGGTAGGCCCAGCCTGTCCCGACACCGTGGGCGACATGTGTGGAGCTGCTGTTGACCAACTGTCATGCGCGCCTAGAAGTAGGCAGTCACGGTTCAACAGCTTGTGCCTCTAGCAAGAGGTTCACAGAGTCTGGGTGAGGAACATCTTCCGGTTTTGCAGTTGCTTCTATGGAAGCAAGCTTGAGGTCAAACATCTCGTTGGAGGCCTTGGACAAATTAGCCAGGCAGCCGAGCACGCCGCACAAGGCGTCGGAGCCTTGGTTCCATATTTC